AAAAAAACAGTCGGAACAAAAACAATCTCTAAATGACATGATTAACTACATTTTGTGTTGGAATCTTATCTAACGGATTTCAACTTTTATGTTATTTTTTTAGGCTTAGACGTCAAAAGATATTGTTTTTCTTTATCTATAAAATTTCATACTTTTCAGGTTCTCAATTTGCCACTTCACTTTATTCTCCAGATTGTAAACCGAGGAAGAATTGTAGCATCAAAATGTCCTGCTTAGTCCATGCATTGTCAGAAAAATGAACTTTTTTCGGAAGTCGTCCAAGATACCAAATGTGAGAAAATCTTTTAAGAAAGTTTCGAGCAACCAGATATAGTAGCAACATAAAGATAAGAATACGGATTAGTATTTCAAACACAAAAAAGGACTCATAACTAAACTACTTATCTAACCCTGTCTCTCTCTGTTTATTAGTAAAGGCAGGCTATAGAATGAAAACACGGAAGAAAAGAAAACGAAAAAGAAGTTATTTCTGCAGATATTCGAGCTCTGTATATAAATAACATTAATAATCTTCCCCGCACGCCACACATAACTAAAAATATGTTTTTTGTTCTGTTCGGATTAATTAACGGATCTAAAAAAGTGCATTATCTCGAGGTATATGCTATTTTCTTTTCTTTAGTCACCTAACTGACATATGATTTTGTCCCAACAATCACTGGAATTCTTCTTGTATTGTGTTCAGCACTAATTTTCTCAGAAAAACAATTTCGAACTAGATAGTAATTACACTACAACGTCACTTTACATGCGTATTGTTTACCTTCACGAACATTTCTATCTGATTTCCAGGATGAAACCTTTCTCTGCATTAGCGCACGTAAAGTGTGTCACTGTATTAGTGAAAACTATACAGAAATTTCTTTTCTTTTTCTATTCTTACGAAAAGTCATGATAATTCGCTTGTCCATCTCTCGATAACGTACGTGGGTAACAAATAGAACGAAACAATTTTTTTCGTAACGTGTGATCATCGATGTTTTTCCTCTCCTACTAAATGAATGATTTCATTCTGCCTTCAGTTCTGAATATATTAATCTTTGAAACAAATCATTTGTTTTAGCTGTTAAAAATAATCATTATATATCAACTTCAAAGAAAATTTAGTTTCTTTTGGTAATCGGTAAAGATTTTTGTTCAACCATTTATTTAGAAAAATTAATATTTTTTAAACGAAATCTGTATCAAGTGGTATCAAGTGGCACACGATTTTGTTTTCTTTGTATTGATAATTGGTAAGGATTTTAAAAATCTTTTTACTCTTTTTTTTAAGTTAATGGTTTCATTTAGATTTGTTATTAAGTAAATTTTAATCAAGTGCAGAAAAATTCTGTTTGTTTACGTCATTAGAACGAATGAACTTGGAAAAATCTTTTCTGCAAGACGAAGTTATTTTTCGTGGTGTCAATATGAAGTATTTCCAAGAACAATATAAAGATTTAATTTTTTTAATAACTAATGTTAAAAATTTTACTGTTAAACATGATGATGGATTAGATGAATTATCAAAGGCAAACCTGGATATGAATTTATTTATTTCGGTATTACCACTGGTGTTTAATTTACCATGGACTTCTAATGTTATTTTAATTATTGGTGCTATACTTACAAGATTAACAATAAATGAATCATCGGTGACGATCGCAATTGATTCTTTTCGTATAAGTGAATCTATGAGTGTTTCACTTATAGGCATTTAGATTGTCAGATTTATTTCACGTCATTTGAATTGGAAAAAAACTAACTGAATAAAATAAACTCATACTTCTGAAAGAAAAAAGTTGTTTTTATTTAACATCAATGAATTCCTTGGATCGATATTATAAATCTTATTTAAGTGAAAGTTAGTTTCCAATTACAACAGGCACGTACCGAAGGAGAGGCCCGGGTCGCACACACCCTCAGCTTTTGAATATCCACTTACTGTTTAAATTCTATTGAGTATTTTCCTGTCATTTTTATCTGTTCATGATAGAAAATGGGCGTCAATGATGCAATATCTACTATTTCATCACAAAGTTTACTGAATTATCAAATTATTCGAGATTAGTTCTGAGATAGATCGTCCACCGAACTACAAAATGAGTGAGAAACGCTCATTCTCTATCACCGATCGAGTCAAAAAACGGTAGCGTTCAGAAGTTACACCGTGTGATACAATCAATGTCATTGTGAAGTTGTGAGTTTCTCTAGGAGAAGTTACGATATCTTCTGAGCCTTCCACCAGTGTAACTAAAATCGTCAATACACAATTAGGTCTTATATTACTGCCAAACTCAGCAGACATTTGCGTTGCCACTGATTCTCATAGTGTCTATGACCAGATGGTAAATTCTATGGTCTTTTTGTATTATCAAGATGACCTACCTAGTAGTGACTTGGTTATTCATGAAGGAGAGTTTGATCTATACGAACTTCATTGGAAGAAATCGGTCAATATCTTAACAACTATTACTGAAACACTTTCTTGTTTAACCCTCGTACTCCAAACCAGGGTCTAAACAGACCCTGTCCTCGCAAAATAAGAAAAGTTCATCTCATTTGTTTTTTTCAGAGAATAAGGTCTAAATGATTAAAGTTTATTGAATAAATGTCCGACTATCCAGCTGTCTGTACTCGCACCTCTTGGAGCTTTAAGCTTTGAGTGCATCAAACTGTTTTCGGATAGATACCCTTTTTTACACAGGGTCTAAATATACCCTGGTTGAGAGTACAAGGGTTAAAGCCCTTCCGGCAACTTTTCGCCAACATTTATGTTCTCCTCGAAATCTTTGGTGTATTACCGGTTTCAATGGCAACGGCTGAACGATCTTTTATCCGTTATGAAACAAATAAAGACATTTTTGCACAATAAAACTGGTGACGAACGTGTTTCTTCGTTGGCTCTGCCGAGCATTCACAAAGAGGTCACCAGTAAGTTTGATCCCGAGAAAATAGTGGATGAGTTTGCGAAGAAAAAAAGACCAATGGTGACGACAACGCCCAAAAATGAGCTCATTGGAGATTCTAATAAACTGGTGTGAAAAATTTTGAGTCTCCCTCAGGTCTTTGGAGTGAAGTTTACTTAACTAAGAAATGTACTACATCATTTTGAGAAATCAATTAGAGATTTAGATTCCTCGTTCCCGAAAACCTTTGGTCGAACTTTATACAAAACATTAGAACCATAATCAACTGGTATAATGACAGTATTCTATAAGTAGTCGGCGACTTCGTAGCTCTCTTCGTGAGCGACGCAGCTGCTGCGGTCAGTCGTTTTGTTGTTTATTGTGAAGATCAGTTCATCTTTTTCTTTGAATAAAGAGAGTCTCGCTCTTGTCATAACAGTGAATTATGTGAGCAACAACGCCTCATCGGCACTTATTCTTATTGCTATGATTGTTCATTCCTGACTTTTACATCTTCCTTTTTGTTCGATCGAGCAACATATCATTATCGCACGTGTCATATCATGCAATACAAAAAATAATGAAAGAAATGTGAACAATCAACCTGTTCAATTTTATCTGTGTAGTAAACGAATATCTTCAGAGAAACATTGTTCACAAACAGGACACATCCATTCATAAAGCTTCACTCCAGTGACTCGGTGCAGGAAAAAATAAATCATCTTTCCATATCCATCAAATGATCATGTTTTAAAACAACAAATCTCACATCTAATCCTCACGATTCGTGACGAAATTCTGGATGAATTCAGTGTGAAATTATTAACTGATATTTATAATCGTATTTTTAGCTTATTTACAAATCTCAAATACTTGTATGACGATGGCGATGACACTTATGGTCTTCCTCGATCGTTGTTGACTGGTCTATCATCGACAATATGTTATTCATCAAGTATTGTTCATTTACGTATCAAAATGCAGAATATCGATGATTGTCTTTATTTACTTGATGGTTGCCTTAGTCAATTACACACATTGATTATCAATCTTGATTATAACCATGATCCAGTAGAGCCCAGGAGACGTCTGCGAAAGACTACGCGTCATTCATTGGAAATCATGAAGAATTTGGTAAATAACTAGAGCAAACTGGGGCAATTGGAAATGATTTTATGCTCTTTGGACTTCTAATTAGTATAACTTTGTGAATTTAAATTGTCTTATTCTCTTATTTTTTTACAGGTAGGTAGAGGAGGAAGTTCTCTATAAACCTATCTAAACATTTTCAAAAATTCCGTGTCCCAAGCGAACTTCCCGGTATTTTGCTAAAAGCTCTAACGGACATTTCCAATTACCCCACTTGGAACAATTGGAAACAGCAATAGAAATTGGTGGAGTAATTGGATACGCCATGTATTTTACACGGGAAATAACTCATTAGTAAAAAACAGTTTTTTCGTTAAGCTAATCATACTAATTAATGATTTTTGCACGGGTGAATAGACCTATTATTGCTCTACAAATGGTGAGAATCTCCAAGCTCTACTCATTAATTAGCCTGAGCTCTAATTAAAAAGATAAACGCTGAGAAGTTTTCAAATGTTTCCAATTATCGCTTTTGTGGCAACTGGAAACGTACGTGAAAATTAGTGGGGTAAATGGAAATGACCATGTAAAATAGCTGAAAAGCTAGCAGTTTCTTGGAAATCAGTTTCTACTCGAAGAACACCTCTCACAAAAAAAGTTGCGCTCATAAAAAGATGCAGAATATTCTTCTCTACAATCCCAGAGAAACTCGCACTCGTTGTCATTCAGAACTAACGAAATAAGCATGTTACACGAGAAAGCTGGTAGGCTATCTCGAGAATCAGTGAACGAAACTTTATGAAACTTGGCGCTTAAGGGTTTCTCAACGTCCTCTTTCTTTTCTTGTCTAGAAAGTTTTCTCTAAAACTCTGAGAAGTAGGGTTTTCTAGAAAACCGTAGTTTTTGGGCTACTTGTACTTCTTAAAACGATTTTTAAAAATCAGTCTTAAGACATGAAACATTTTTAATGATATATTTGAATTCAGCGTCGAAAGGCGAACATTTTGAGAAAAACACATCAAGTCCTCAACTCAAAATTTCATGTTTTGAGTTTAGTTTGACATTTAAAAAATTCAACCTTTTTTAAAAATGAAATAGCTCAGTTGAGGTAAGCGATGGGACTTTGGTTCAAACGCGGTTGGATAGAGAATTATAATCTGAACAAACGTAGTGGTTAACCACTACGTTTGTTTAGATTATAATTCTCTATCCAACCGCTCTATCCAAACTCTACAAAAACCTAAGGAATTTATTAATAACATAAGGGCTTTTTATTTCTACTCGTTTTCAGGAAAATACATATTTTCGCACTTGAGTTTCGCGTCATTGCGTAAACTCGGCTTAACCCATATCTTTTATATCCAAATATAAGAACTACAACAACTCTCTTTCATTCAATGTAGTGAGTGAAAAGACGAAATTTTTCGTGCTAGCTAGTGAATTTCAGTTAGATTATCCTGTGTATCATAATACTAGGCTTTGACGAAACATATCATACTCGATTAGAAAAACCACGATTGACAGGAACGGAAAACGTATTTTAGTTTATATTGGCAACTGCGTAAGCGTTTCAAAAAAGTTTGAGTATATTAACATGAAGTTGTTTCAAATTTGTCAATGATAAAGATGCTGACAATAACAATTTAAACAATTACTAAGCAGTTAAATAACAAATATCTTCCATATCATAGATTTCTATTTCGAAATATTGTAAATTAGGCATTAGCATCATTAATGATTTCGGATAAAATATTGTAACACCATCAGCATGAACAGCTATACAAAATATAAATGTTTACAGCGTCAATAATAATGCTATTGTTGTTAATATTAATATTTGCGGGCTTAAACAATTTACATAAATGGGAAAAGATAGCGCCCGTTTATTTTTTTCCTCCATTCACTATCATATCATAATAGAAGATAGTACTCATAAACACGCATCCGACGGTATGTGTTTTGGGTCTAGAAAATGGTGCCATCAAAAAACTATTTTAAAAATAAAATTTTCGAGAATTTTTGTGTTTTGAAGACAGATAGTGTTTTCGAGCTTTCTCTTCTAACTGAATAAGAATATTTCGTATATCGGTCGATTCAGCAAGATTTACTCTATCTGTTCATATGTTTAGTGTATTATGTGCACATAAACCACGAGAGAAAAATTTGAAAAAGTAGAATAAAAAATCTTCTGCATTATGAATACCTCTAATAAAACTGATGTAGCTCAGCTCAGAAGCCTTCCCGCAAAACCAATCCTTTCGGAAAACATTCTAACATTTTGCGCTACAAATCCTGAGAATATAAAAGAGAAATATTTTCTCCTAACGGAGTTATGACTTTTTTATCTGGCGTGAGAGGTACAAATTGCCTAACTTTTATGTAAAACCCACTTTTTCGCCTTGGAAAGCACTCTTTTCCAAAACTAAGGTTATATTTGTAATCTGCGAATAAAACTGATTCAGAAAATGGATTTGACGATCATTGAGCATCTATGGTTTTGGCCCTACTTCACCTTAAATACTGCTAATTCTAAAAAACTAACTTAGATCATCGTAAGAAAAAGTTATCGCGTCGCGATCGCGAATTATAAATTTTTGTAAAAAGAGTTAGGCGCTATCGCGGAGTGAGATCCCTGTTCGCGCCGCGAATGTAGCAAGAAAGTCGACTTGGATGGGTAAATCAAGTCAAAAATGGCCTAAGTCTTAATGAAGTCACGTCAGACATGACTTAACCCGAGAAATTCTTTGTAATAACTTAACTTGACTTACGCGGAAATAATTTCATGACCGTTCTAACTTGACAATATTCGAGTACTATGAGTTGAGGCAGGCAGCGTAATAACTCAATAGTCGATGTGTCTTTATAAGATATTTTTTATGAAGGCATATGAGTACATAGTATTCAGGTTCCATGAGCTATGAGAACGAACAAAAAGAAAATGAATGAGAAAATTTATTTATTCCTACTTGACTCGCTAATGATGTAAGCATCGTTATTGTCAGTAGGGATCAAGCAAATAATATATGCTTCTTCGCACAAGATAAATTATTGTAGTCCTATTATCTATATCATATTTGAATGACTCTAATGTTTGTGTTTCTAAATTTTCTTCAGAAAAATGAATAAAGTAATCTGAATCATGAACAACGGTGCAAAACAATTTTATTTTTTTCGACGCTACATATCACCGGATCGAAAAATTTTAAAAGCTTGTTCGGTCAAAACCGATTGCAGATTCGTCTTCTCCATGGTTGATTATGTGGTACGCGATAACTTCTGGATCGGGGTACTTTAGAAAAAATTTTCGGCATCGTTTTGCCTTTGGTCCCATACGGTAACATTTGGAAAAAATTTTCAGCAAGACCATGGGAAAAAATTTTTCTGAAGTACCCCGATCCAAAAGTTATTGCGTACCACATAATCAACCATGGAGAAGACGAATCTGCAATCGGTTTCAACCGAACAAGGTTTTGAAATTTTTCAATTCGGTGATATGCATATTCTTTTTCTATCTAAAGTATAGTCTATTAGAATTAATAAAAGTTTGTCTTTCAGGAACATACTATAACTAAGCTCATCAGCTTTGAGATTAACGCGATTTTGCATTAATCGTCCAGATATACTAAACGCGCTCTCACTAGGCATACTTGTGCCTGGAACAGACAGTAACAAACGAGCAATTCGACCTCAGCATGATCAGAATTAGAAGGAAATAAAGAAATAAAAACAAAATAACACACATAACTTCCGTAAAAAAAACTTTACCAGAGAAAAATTCGCTAAAAAGTATTTACCGAACCTTTACCGCGGTAATCTCGTTTTTCGGTAAATTCATCTTACTGTTGCCGCGGTAAAAAGGCTTTAACCGTTACCGACGGTAAATTACCGGTTACTGCATATACTTACATTAAATGTAGTTGATTCTCTACATATTTGTAACTATAGTAGATCGAAATAGCGTTTTCATCGGAGTAGATTGAAATAGTGTTTTCATTTGTCCCATCTTTCGTTCGTACGAACGAAAGATGGGAAAGAAATGGAATAACTATAATATAAAGAAATGGAAGCCCTATTTCAATCTACTCTACTGTTCAAAAAAGCACACATTTGTGAATCGGTCTTTTTTATCGATAAACTGTTTTTTTTCTTCTTCTCATTTCTCTTATATCAGACACACATTCATTGAATCCAGATAAGTTTGTGAATTTTTGTTCCGTAGCACTTGATGTTCATTTTATAAGATAATACTCATTTCTCAAAAGCTTCCCTCTATTTTCACCAAAAATAAACACAATTTCAACAAGGATCCTTCGTGTCTAGTGTACGAGAGATACCACTCCAAGTATAACCCACGTTATGATGCACACGGAAATCGGTTCTAGCTATCGTTTGGTTAGGAATTGATGATGTGAAACTGTACTCTAGTATGTACTTCGCGATAGGCCCCCGAGTACTTGCATTTTTTTAAGCATCTGTTTGGGTGCTATAAGTAACGACATAGGTAAAGCGCCGCTAATTTGAAGTTTAAGCACTATTTTATCTTTGCTTCTTTCTACATAGTTCGATAGAGCTCAGCGAGCTGATTCAAAATGTGTGCTTTAGCCTTGAAAAGTTGATTTTTGGTTGAGAAATTTTGGAAATATTACAAGAGTCATAATTTTTAGAAAACCAATGCTGTAAAAAGAAGTTGGACAATTTTTTCTCTGTTCTAGTTTGAAAGATCACAATCACTTTTTTCTTATTCAGCGTATGAAACTGAGTTTAAAAATGTTATTTAGGACTCGGTCGTATATAAAGTGGTCAATATCAAAATTTACGTTCGAGGTGGCTTTCAAGGACAGGAACGGATTTTGCAAACATATCTAGCCTTTGGGTTAAGGGATGACGTCGAAAAATTACTAAGATTTTCATCAAAAAAATTTGACATATTTTTCGACGCAGTTTTTTATATGTACAGCCTGTTAAAACATAGATCCGAATCTTCTGGCAGCTAGTTTAACTAATCCTGAAGTTACCTGTCAATAGCAGGTAACTTCTAACAGCGTGATATGATAACAGAAAACAGAATTTAATATAAACTACCGAAAAATATTTTTGTAACTTGTTGCTATTTCTAATGAAGTTTTCGCATTTGTTCTTTACCAAAGAGTGTAATACCTCTGCATTCACTCTATTATTGTTACCATGTTTTTCTTGGCAAAAATACGTTTTTAGTCGAACTAAAGCAACATTTTTGCGATCGGTTGATAAAATAGTAAAGCACGAGGGACAGTTTCTGCAGGAAAATGGCCCTGTATATTTTTGAGAAGATAACGGCTGGAACTGATCAGAAACCGTTCGTTATTTAGTTAATATTTCTGCGCCTTACAAGTTGATTGTAGACTACCATATGCTGGAATTTTTGATCATTTCTGAGCATCGATCCAAAAAGCCTATTCGATAATATTTATTCATTTTTCTCTGTAAGTTCGATGTTCTTAAAAGAATCTTATATATGAAAACATGCACAATTACATGGGCTTTAAAATGATTTATAGCAAAATTAATCAGAAAACACGAAAAATATATCTTTCAGTTTTTACCGATAAGTCTAATAATCGTATGATTTGAAAGAATGTATCATAGCTCATTTTGTAGCCCTTTCTATGTATAAACCATTCCGGGTCTGAGTGCACTGACAAAACTATATACATTTTATGACATTCAATAAGGATTTCATATACGAGAAGCAAATAGTCATAGATAATGTTTGACCAATAACTCTGTGAAGACATTAGTTTGAAAAGATGTGCTATAAATCATTTTAAAGCCCATGTAATTGTGCATGTTTTCATATATAAGATTCTTTTAAGAACATCGAACTTACAGAGAAAAATGAATAAATAGGATCGAATAGGCTTTTTGAATTGATGCTCAGAAATGATTAAAAATTCCAGCATATGGTAGTCTACAATCAACTTGTAAGGCGCAGAAATATTAAAAACTAAATAACGAACGGTTTCTGATCAGTTCCAGCCGTTATCTTCTCAAAAATATACAGGGTCATTTTCTTGCAGAAACCGTCCCCCGTCCATAGTTTTCTTATTTTCCGCTGTAAAGAACATAGCTTCTTATGATTAGATATTGTATAAGAAAATAATCGTTTTTTCTACTGTATTTTCAGACAATCCCGACCAATTAGAATAATTTACGAAACTCCAACGGTAATCGTCCTTTTCCGTATGATTCATTTCCTTGTATGAAAATGGTTTATTCAGCAATCCTTTTATCGTTATCAATTAGTTTATGTATCGTTCAATTATGGTCTCAATATATTAAGTCACCATCTAGCTGTTATCTAAATGAAGATACTAGTTGCACAACAAGTCAGGACACACACACAAGTAAGTTTTTCTGGACCGAAAGTCATTTGGTCAGTAATATAAATTTCTAGGAGTCAGTGTTTAAGGAAGAAGTCCCTCTTCTTTTCTCCGGTAACGGCATTTAGTACAAAGAGATATTCGCTAAGTTATGAAGAAGTTCGTTTTTAAAAGAATTCTTGCATGGCCTATGGGTTCTATTTTCTAGAGGTTGCCTCAGACAAGAAATCATCCTCCATCAGAGCAGCTTGTCGACCATAAGGACTTGGTCTGTGAGGCTGATATTTTTACCACAAGCGGTGCAGTACAGACATAATATGAGGTTTACATGACGGGTTTCAGAAACCCGTTTTCTTTTGGTCGAGATGTCTTTCTGGTCGAAAAACTTCCCGATTAAATGATAAAACTGAAAAAAACAGATCCTGAGATATATACAGAGAACGAAAGATTTCGTATATTTAGGAACTCAAGAAAAATCATTATAACATTTCAGACTAACACTTCTTAGGGCTGGGAGACATCTCATTTTACAGAGGCGAGCTATTTAATTCTGTTGTTTAAAATAATTTTATCTATAGAGCAGGAGAAATTTTAAACCGTAAAAAGTTGGGAAAAAACTTTTTTGATGGAAAAACTTGAAAAAATTTATAACTCATGATGGAAACAATTTAATGAGTCTGGATATCTCTATTTTGAAGAGGACACTTGATTCTATACACTCTTCTATATAGTCACATCAAGCTTAGTTTTGAGGGTGAAAATTCTTTTCTTTTGGAGCTTAAAAGAAGAGCGGTGGCATTAGTACGGAACTCCGTGATTTCAGACATCCTACAGCAATTAGTCACGTTAAACCTACGCTCTGCCTTTGTTACTAATCAATATTTTTATCCTGTCGGCATTTTACAGAATGATTATGGACCTAACGAACGGAATAGTTATAATATTGTTACTCATCATAGGATGATAAAACCGGATTAGTCATTAATTAAATCTAGTCGTAGACTGAAAAAGTCAAAGAAATGATCTCATGTAATATTGAAAATATTCCAATGTTCGCATTATTGTACCATTGAAGTCTTATTTGCTTCCCGTTGCCCAAATCCGGATAAAAATGTGTTGAGGCTTTTTCTCGTTTTAGAAGTTGGTCAATTTCAACAAAAATTTAGTTTCATTTTGTTCAAACATGTTATTCAGAATGAAAAATCATCAATGAATGTAATCATTTCTCCAGCTAGTGTAGCATTCGCATTGAGCAGTGCCGCAGCCGGTGCGAATGGTACCACACTCCAACAAATATTGTTACTCATGGCTGAAAAATCTACTATAGAACAATTATTGAATCGTACTCGAGAACAAACACATTTACTAAAGAATTCGAATGGTGAACATATAAAATTAAAATTAGCAAATCGTATCTATGTCAACCATAATTTTAAAATAAATGAAACTTACGTTAATCGATTACGTGAATATATCGACAGTGATTTAGTATCGGTAGATTTCGAACGAAATGCTAGTGGAACCGTACAGGACTTGAATTTATGGATTAAACAAAAAACAAAGAACTTAATTAAGGAATTACTCAAGCCGAATGATATTAAACCGGGATATACACAATTAATTTTCATTAATTGTATCTATTTCAAAGGTGAGCTTCAACTAAAAAAAATAGTTTCGTTCACTGCTTGAAGTTAGATGTAGGCCATGTGTCACGTCATGTCTTTCGCTTTTTAGGTCACTGGAAGTATTCATTTGATGTAAACAAAACGAAACACAATTATTTATTTTACGTAGATGATGGTACAATAATAACAAACGTAACGCTAATGTATCGAGAAAGAGTGCTCCTCAAATATTTAGATGCATCACCTGAATTAGAAGCCCAAATCATTCATATTCCGTATAAAAAAAATAATTTCAATGACAGTGGCAGCGAATTTTTATTTACCATTATATTACCAAATCGAGGCATTAAATTATTGAATGTTGAAAATAAATTAAATTATCATAGAGTTTTAAAACAGATGTTTGATTACGATAATCAATACGAAAGAGAACTTCAACTTTATTTGCCGAAATTCCGAATCGAATATGAATTTCTCACAATTAAAGATACACTAAAGGAAATGGGCATGACAGATGCATTTGACGGTAGAGCTGATTTTAGCTGGATAACAAATGGTGGTCTGGCTATCGATGATGTTAAACATAAATCTGTTATTAATGTTGATGAAACAGGAAGCGAAGCAGCCGCTACAACTGCTCTGGTATATGATCGGGGAGGTTTTCTACAAAACGAACAGCCAATTGAATTTAAATGTGATAGACCGTTTCTATTTTTAATTCATGAGAAAGAATCTGGCTTGGTGTTATTTGCTGGAAAATATCAGAAACCTCAACCATTCACTAAAAGTTCTATCAGTATGCTCATCTGATGAGCACTGTACAATGGTGAAAATTTCCTTATCCTAGTAAAATTATTTACTAACTGATTCCAACAAAGAATTTTACCAACTTTAGCAGACTTTTGCCATAGGAAATTCTGCTAAAGTTGGCAAAATTCTTTGAAATAATTGTTGGAATTAGTTGGCGAATAGTTTTTCTGGGATAAAGAAATTTTCACTATTGCATAGCTGTGTTTGTTATAAACTATTTTATTTGAAAGAAAACATTTGAATGTCTTTTTCCTCTACCACCGAAAGAGACATGCTCCATTATTATCCAGGGATGGAGAAACACAATTGATACAATGTAATCACGAATAAAGAATCTGATACGAAAAAAGAGCCAAACAATAATATATGAAAGTCCAAGCACACACACACACAGTGGAAGAAAAATGTCTGTTTAGCGAGAAATAAAACAAAATGCCAAGGAGAGAGAAAACAAAAGCACGTTAGGACAAAAGAACACGTTCTTCTATAAATCTTTTTGTTGTACAAATATAGTCAGTCTATGACTGCGTGAGATATATATGAAAAATCTTCTTTCGGAAGAAATATATTTAGTAAAAGAAGATGAAGACTGAGGGTAAGAGTGCTTTTATTATTGAGATTTATTTTATAAGAATTGTTCTTTAAATGTGGAATAACACATACTCTAATGCTGATATGTCTCTGACTTTCCACGCGCATAGAAACGTGTTATTGGCAATGCTTTTTTGTATAAATCGGATTTTAGACCAGAAAACTTACTGGCGCGAAACCTACTGTATGACACATCGATGTTTCTCGGTATATTGGATACCCGAACAACAGAAAAGAGCATCGATAATGGATGAAAAGTTATCTTTGAAAAGTTTTCGTTGAAGTTTCCTTCAGACTTTGAGGCAGCTCTGACCAAACCTGTACAATAAATGGAAAGAACTATATGTCCATCGTCACCGAATTGAGTGTGAAAATTTTGAAAGTTGCGCATCCACCTAAATTGTATGAGATTACCTCTCTGCTTCAATGTAGAGAGTTAGTTGTTTTCCGACAATATTTACAGTTAGAATAATGAAATATCTTTTTGTCTACTGATTTCTGGATGCAGATGACCTTGTTCTTTTTATTATTCTTTTATAATATAAAAAAGATGCTAATAATAAGTAAAAGTATTACGTGTTTACTATATCGTCTTCTTCGTGTCTGCTAAAACTCTTCATGTTCAATCGAATTAAAAATAAATGATTCATTTAGACAATTGTCTTGCATTTCAGGTAGTTGAGGACGAGTCGCATACAATTTTACATATTCTTTTACCATTTTCGCCATTTTCCTGATGTCCATATTTGGAGTTTTCATATGTTTTAAGACTCCGCTGGTCAGTTGACCATTTTTATATCCAACAACTTGCCATCGTTTCGTTTCGTAATCATAAGCTTTACTGCCTAGTTGTGTAGCATAAATGACTATGTGTGGATTTTCAAGGCAGGTTTTATCCGTTTTCATTGGTATATTATCACATTGCACGCTATTTTGTGGACACGTATCAATTATATAGATGAATATGATGTTCTCTTTATTTTTGTTCAATCTCCTGATTAATTGTTGATGTGAGTACGATCCAGCTCTTTTGTGGTCAAGTGGAATAAAGTAGGTATCGTTCTAAAAGGAGAGAATATACGGTTATGGAAGGCTGTTTTTGTACGAAACAAAAGTCAAAATCTTTTTCTCATTTTTTCGCTCTGTACTAGATGATCTTTCTGTGATATTAATGTCGGCATTAACTGATCTTTTGAATTAATTTACACAGATATGAGCAAATTGATAGGAAAATCAGCTAATATTTTACTTACTTTACAATGATATCCATGTCCAGCAAAATATATTAAAACAGCATCGTTAGGTTTTATTTCACGATAAAATTCTTTTTCGTAGGCATATAGTTGAGCTAAATCCACATTCTCAGCTGACAAAACTTTAAACTTCAATTTAATTAACATAGATCTCATATCCCTGACATCGTTAATCACACTAGGCAATATTTGGAGATCAGAGTATGCAGAATTTTCAATTAATAAAGCAATTCGACGACGCGTTGTTTTCGTAGAATATAACAACGTTAAACCACAAAGTATAATCAGCACCTATAAAACAAAAATAAGTCAATCATTAGATGTACAAGATAGGCTATGAGAGTTAAAATATACTACGATTTTGAAAGGGACACCAGTTTTTTTCCTTCAACATTTTATATACAAGCAAAATACTGTATAGGTATTACCGGCTTGAACTTGCCGTTGCTCTCCGGTAAGATCGACTTTTCTCAGTGAAGGAGTAGAATCGAAAAATGAGCATGGGTAACTTTTTCCTTATTCGTTGATCGTTCGAATAGCATATGAATGATGGCTTTAACTCTTGAAAAAGAACAGGAGATAGGTTAACAAGATCTATGTACACGTCTGATCGCTCACGAGCCTTATTGAACTAGCTAAACCGGATCATAGTGCCGAAACTCAGTCATTCCTAGGTATTTAGTTTTGCATGTTGAATTCGAACAAAATAGTTTCAGCAAATTGAAACGTCTGCGAAGGAGCAAATTCTTGAATGTTCTCGAAACTCATGAATTTCTTGCTTTTTCTTGAACATTTTGTAATTTCAAAATTGTACATTAGCCACCATTCCGATGTGAAAATCTCACTTACATCTAATACAATACAAGATATTTGTATTCGCTTTTTGTCGTATATAAAATGAAAATAAAACCTTAGCTGTCCATATTCAACTATCAGTTTTTTCTATCTTTCATCAGGTACAATATACTTCGTATTATAGAGTCGACTGGAGTAGTTATGATCAGTGAATGAAAATCAACTAGAAATTGATTAGAGCTTAACTAACTTCAAAAGGCTGAATTTACCTTTAATATTTTCATTTTTGTAAACAACTGTTTGATTGTATCACAAAGACAAAGAAATATTTTCCCAAAGGCAAACGTTGACAAAGAAATAACGTGTATTAGAGATTTTCGTAAAGACGACAAAAATGTGAAGACTTGATACCTTTATCAGTGAACTTTTTGTCTGTTTTTTCAGTTTTAAGAAAACAGACATCGATGCCATGATCATTGTATACTGTTTTCAAGTTTCTAATTATAAAATTGTTTTACTAGGATATTCAGCAAGAGCTGTTCTTTTCAAAATATTTGTTGTTGGCTTGAAATCAAAAGAATATCTTCGTCAGTCGAGGATAGAAATCAAGAATGGCTAAAGAATAGTTACTTTTTTTAAGATCAGTGATGTATGCATAAACACTCTTACAGCAGTGATAAATGCAAAATAACCTGCTATCAGAATATATACCAAAGCAGATGTAATAAAATATATGTCAATATCTCACAAGCTATATAGCTGCTATGTGCAAATTCAAAGTTACTTTTTGCATGAATGGTCTAGATGTCTAATCATATATGATTTTTGGCTTTTCTAGTTCAAGAATTATTCAAAACCAATGGAACACATATTTTGAAATACGTAGCACAGAAAAATACTAATAAGAAGTGAAAAAGATATTTTCTGAGATGAAAGTGAATGCACGAGAGACATAAGATACGAGAAAAGGGAATGGGTTCAGAGCTCGAACCGGTCAAAAGAATCAAACCGCACCGACCGACCGGTTGCAAGATGAGGATAAACCGGCGTAGTTATTAATTGGTTTTGCGATCTCCATCTTTTCAGGCATTTACTACTCTTTAAGTTTAACCTTCGCTGTACAAAATGTCACGCATATATATATAGACCATGTAGTAGATTATTTCTTTGCGTCATTATTTCTACTTTTATATATCACTGAAAAAGTTCAACCCCAGTTAAACGAGACATCTGGTTTTTCAAAACTAAAGCATTATTTTTTTAACAACAATGTCGAGTGAAAAAAAAGATCTTAGATCTTATGAAATGTAATATCAATATCAAATTTGAAATTCGAAAATTCTTTTTCCCTAGTATTCTTTATCTTTTATTTTTTATTTAACCGAACCAAAAATTGCGTTCTTAAAAGTAATCGCCGTAGACCAGCCAGTTCAAAAGTTAAACCGGATCCGTGGCCCGGTCTGGCTCCAGCTCTGACTGGATCGAGGAACCAGACGGGTGAAAGCTAATACTGAAGACTTTGGCAAGACCAAATATGGTACGGTTTAGAAAGTCAGAGTAGAAAACGGAAAGAGTTGTTCAAATCGGTAAGGTAAGGTGCCAAAAATTGGAGGTTTTCACCAATTATTTTTGCCCATCTAAGAATATTTCAGCGAAAACTTTCTCAACTAAAATTTAACCTTTTTTACTCCATAAGTCTGAAATAAGAACCGGAACAAATAAGAATGACTCTGTGATGTAGGTCCTGTGGTCCAACGGTTATGTAAGGTGCAGCTAATGCAAACTTACAGTGAAATTTACTTTTGACGTTATTATACATATTAGCTTAACGAGATGATCACGAATAACGCCTTCCGGACCTGCATGGACGTCCGAACCGAAAGGTGTCAGAATCTGGTGACACATTTTGTAAACCTATCTAATTTTTTGGGTGAAGGGCTATACCGATGATTCATACACCACCAGATCGGCCAACACACCAGCTTTAAAAATATGTATTTTTTTAAAATTTCGTTTCGTTGCTGAGAAAATTCATCTTTTCTAAATAGATAATAAGATATAAACCACCTTTATCATAATGAAAAATATCGCTATTTTCTGTTAGAGACGTTTCGTCTTTATTCAAAAGACATCATTAGTCAAATGTGACACTCGATAGTTGATTCTGAAGACAAAAATAAGAGATAAAAGAAAATACAAGTAGAACACAACAAAATAAAATAGATCGAACAAAACTTTATCGAACTTTCTATTTTCTACTATATATGTGAACTATGTACAAGATCATCAAAATACTTTAAGGTCAAAGCTTTTTTGTGAATAGATTTTTCTTTTGTTTTGTTTTGTGTGAATGTCCATCAACAAGCTCCCTTTAATAGTTCCTTTTATAAAATGCGATTCAACTGCAAGAATTTCTGGATTCCAGTTACTACGATGACACGTGTCCAAACAATGGACAACTATCTAGAAAATCCTGTTCCATAAAAGGCATTTTGGTGTTCTTCTTTTCTTATTGTTACTCCTCTCGCTGTCTGTCCTATATAACTGTTCGTACATCCACAGCAATCATATTTGTAAATCACCCTCTTAACTTCCTGGGTATCACGAATTGATCTGCTAAAGACAGATGATATTGTGTGTACAGCTTTAAATCTGAAAGTCACCTTTCAATTTATCTTTTCTGATTAAGAGGCGAAAAACTCGGAAGTCTGCTGACAATTCTCAATTTTCTGGATTAGAACTCAACTTTCATGTAATCAAAATATCATATTCCGAATCAGGATCAAAAGCTAAGTCGATTGATATGTACTTCTATCCAAAGCAACTACTTTGACTTTTTATCAAATTTTCACATTCAATGTGAAAATTAGAATTTTTCAATGCCTGAGATATTTTTTTCACCCAAAATTGAAAATCAACAAAAAATTGCGCAATACATATCAATCGACTCAGCAATTTTCGGGGCTTTTCGGTCAATTAAAAATAAAAGATAAAAAATACTAGGGAAAAAGATAATTTCAAATTTGATATTGATATTATATTTCACAAGGTCTTTTTTTCCATTCGACATTGTTGTTAAAAAAATAATGCTTTAGTTTTGAAAACCAGATGTCTTGTTTAACTCGGATTGAACTTTTTCAGTGATATATAAAAGTAGAAATAATGACGCAAAGAAATAATCTACTGCATGATCTATATATATATGCGTGACATTTCGTACAGCGAAAGTTAAACTTACAGAGTAGTAAATGCCGAAAGTAAATGCAGAGTAGTAAATTCCCAGATTTTTACTCAAACTTTTTAAGACTTAATATAAGGGAGGGAGTATTTTCCTCCAAACTTGCCCTCAAACTTAGCCAGTTTGTAGAGAACACCTTCGGTGGTATGTCGGCGCAATAAAAAACTCGTTGGTCAAGTATTGACTGAGTTATTAATTAAGTCCAAAATTAATTGAAATTTTTAGTTTGAGCGGCATCTTTTAAAACCTTTCTAGTTTTCGATATAAATGTTATATTCAGTTGGATGTAATGTAGTTTTTTAGAGAAGTGTTTGTAGATATAATTTCATACAAAAAAGTTTAAAAACGACCGTTTTATAATTACTAATTACTTCTGGTTAGCACTAATTAGTGGCACTCCAGTGGACAAAGTAAATTTTCCTAATATCAGAACAAATGCAAGCAAATCATGCGATATATTATTCGATAGAACTTTTTGAGCTCTATTGATTGTTCGAGCCACTTTCTTAATTTTTACCGTTTTTGTCTGAAAAATCCCTTTTAAAGGTCCCCCACCCCTCAAAAAAAGCATTTTTCGACAAAAAAGTCGATTGAGACATTTATGCATAGTTGTATAGCTCAATATATCTGCTTTCGAATGCACTATGATTTATTAGTTTTACAATGGTTTTTGAGGGTTTTACAACGGTTTTTCTGAGACACCCAACATCAAAAACTGATTGATTTTTTTATGATTTTTCCGTGGGAATAACGCTTACATATGGGAAAAAGTACGTCGCATATGTCTCTACATGTGCTCATTCGATTCGCCATAGCCGATAACCTACGCCGAACTGCCCTCAGACTTTTCTCTGTACCACTTTCCAAAAAAAGCGCGATAATCAAAGGAGAAACTTATGATGATTTGCTTACTTCTCAATCTTTCTGATGATAAACTAATCAGTAAGATTGAGTGTTCTGGGAAAAAAATTTTAGAGGGGAGAGGGGCCCTTAAATCATTTTTGGTGTCAAAAAACTCATCAATTCTCAATTTTCTCAACCAGAACTCAATTTCTATGTGATAAAAGTATCATATTCGGAATCAAGATCGAAAACTGAAGCTAAATCCGAATATGTATAATAAAGTCAAAAATAAATTTCACTGTAAGTTTGCATTAGCTGCACCTTTAACCGTTGGATCACAGGATCTACATCACAGAGTCATTCTTATTTGTTCCGGTTCTTATTTCAGACTTATGGAGTAAAAAAGGTTAAATTTTAGTTGAGAAAGTTTTCGCTGAAATATTCTTAGATGGGCAAAAATAATTGGTGAAAACTTCCAATTTTTGGCACCTTACCTTACCGATTTGAACAACTCTTTCCGTTTTCTACTCTTACTTTCTAAACCGTACCATGCAATTTTAAATTCTTATCTTCTAATATTTGTTGTATTTCTTCTAAATGTTTAATATGATCTTCTGTTGTTTTAGAATAAAGAATGATATAATGTAAGTAAGTTAACACAAATTTTCTAATTTGATGTTTAAGTGATGCGTACATTATTCGTTGAAATGTTGGTGATAGATGTAGCATTCCTGGAGGTAATCTATTAAATTCATGAGGATCTTCATCAGTGACGAATGCTGTCTTTGATTTATTTCGCTCACTAACAGGCATCTAGAAATAATTCGACTTAAAATCTAATTTGGTGAAGTAGTTTAAATCGTATAATTGTTCAAGAATATCATCTGCTCGTGGAAGAGAAAACAAATCTTTTTGAGTAATTTTATTAAGATTACGCTAAACTACGCAAAATCTATATCTACCATATTTTTTTATCAACTATAACTGGTCTACAGGACCATAATGAATTTGATGGACGAATGATTCCTTGACGTAACATTTCTTGAACATCTTCTCTAATTATATCATTATAGTTATGGTTTGACTAGAGAGATATGTGCGAATGGATGCATGATTGCTAGTACTTATTGTATGATGAAGCAAAGTTCTAATTAATGTTAATTCAGAAATATCAAATGAATTATGATATCGATTCAATATTGCTCTAATTCTTTCTTTTTCTCCTCTTCTTCATCTATATTATCAATTAATTTTTGACTATATCCTCTTACTATTGATTTAATGATCGACGATGATGGTGAATTAATGCCTGTTGACAAAGTGTCGTACCAATTGTATTTTCTACTTCATAGTGATGTTTAATAAATTATATTGTTGTTGATCTTCTGGGCTGTTAAGAAATATCACAGAGAGTTGACAGACGTTTCATTTGGTTCAGAAACGTTTGCTCTATCAGATACAATTGCTTTCAAAAGCATATTGATCGAGTTTGGGAACTTGGGTTTTTGCGATTTTGGTTTTCCAGAAATTCTAGTTTCAGAAACTTCGATGGACTTTTTATTATATATATACATTGTTAGAAAAAAGCGTGAATAGAAAAACCGTAAGCACAAAAATATTAGCTATTTCTCATCGTTAGCTATAGCATCTTCAGATACATCAGTAAGATTTTCTTTTGTTTCTTTTTCTTATCCTTTATTTTCCTTATCCTTTTTTTGTTCATCTACTTTTATTTCATTTGATTGTTTTTCGGCATTTCCATCGTCTTTAGTTCCAGCGCTATTGCTTTTCTTCTTTGATTGTTGTTTATTTGATGGTTGATCTTTATACAGATTTTCAATTTCATGTTTATACTCTTCCTCAATGGCTTTACGTTTCAATTTTAATGCATCTGTTACTAAACCACTTTCATGTCCAACGTTCATGCAACAACTTTCACACGTTTTGGTGTTTCAGAATCTTCGATTCCAGCTAGAAATTAGAAAAAACCAAATGCGTTATAAAATAAACAGAATTTGTACAAATACATACCTTTTTTTACATGCATCTTGTACATCTTTCGATACATGATCACAAAATTCTTGGTCATCAACTAATTTTTCCCATTCTTTGGTATCAAAATTTTTTTCTGTATAAGACTAAAATTAAAATAATCTCATACAGCTGTCGGGCGAAGATGATAGGAACATATGATTCAGTCCCGATTCGTCGACACTCACTCTCACACCGCCCCTCCCGCCTTTGAAATTCTTTGATGTATATTCTTTGAAGTGTCCGATTTGTCGACGAATCGGGACGATACCGAACATATATGTACCGCCATATTTTTTTTATTTGGTGTAATCAGTAAAACTGTGTATTTCCGCTGATGGTGATGCTCATAAACAAGAATTTTCAACAACTGAAATTTTAGCAATAACATTTTCAACTTTTGCTAATGAAACATATTCATCACGACGTAATTTAATTAAATCTTTTTTACGATCTAGAAACACAAATACTCAAACTTCAGAATCAGAATACATCCTCGAATCTGAAAGCTTTATCCGCACATCAATTCTGTTCTAGCACTAACCACAAAATATGCTCAGTCTAGAAAACATAATAATGAGCATTTTCTCTATACTTACCCGCAATTCTGACTGTTCCATTCGGAAATATTTCACCAATATGTCCAGTTGCAAAATATCTTACATCATCGATTTCTTTAAAATTAACATTTTCTTTCGATGCTTCACCCAAATAACCTTGGGCGACCATTTTCCCACCGATTAATATTTCACCACGTGGATTTGGTTTATCCGTGTTGCGATACTGTCCTTCCTCCCAATTTATCAACCATAATTCACGAGAAACCAGTGGATGACCGGCTCGGTCAACGGAGATATCATATTCTAAAGTCAGACATAAACACAAAGTTAAAGTCACCGGACTCTAGAAATAAGTGCAAACTTACGATCAGCTATTGTTCCTGCTGCACAAGTTTCTGTTAACCCGTAATCTTGAAGTACTGTGACACATAAAGCTCCTTGTGCAAAACGCTGTGTGCCTTCACTTCTGTATTATATCGAAAAAGAAAAATAGAGAGAAAGTTTATTTGTAACAAGAAAAAGACATATCATAAAGCAAAATAAATGACAAAAGAACTAGTCTGTAACGAATTAAGAAGTATTATTATGCAATAGGCAAGATTAACTTGCCACAAAGACATTACCACATTCTTAATAGGTAGAAAGAATGTCTAAACAAAAAAAATGTTGCTATCGATGTTTTCTATTTCAAACATACGAGTTAAATAAAAATTGTTCTATGGGTAGAGATGTTACGAACCTATTGGATATTTTATTTTTAAAAGTTGTCATAATTCTCTGAAGTTTGTTGTCTCGATGGAAATTTTTTTGAGTTTTTAGAAATGCAGAATATATGTTTCTCTATAAAATAAGATGTCTGCGAGTTTTGTGAGGGATTTTTGTTTCTAAATTTATATTCATTCATTCACAAATTCCATTATCATAACAAATACAGAAATATGAATAAAAGAACACTTAAAGTTCTGTGGTCTTTTATTGTATAAGAAAATGTTTACTTTGTATTTTGACATACTCAAACATACAAAATTTTTGTCTCTTCCTGTTTTCATATTCTACATTATTTTCTTAAAGAGCGAAAAACTCGAGTTTAGACTCGTTGCATACTTATCTCTGAAACTTTTACTGATCAACATGAACTGTCTGATGTTTTAAAATTGAAAACTGTCCATTTCAAAATAGGATGCATTCGATTGTTTGTTGAATAACTCGGGAATGCTGATAGCTATCTAGTTCACGTTTTTACCACTAGAACGAGGATGATTGGAAGCATCTATCTAGCTGAGAATCAGAATGCTTAACAAGTTTTGGAGAGAGTCTTCAAGAGATTTCTGGAAAATCATTTTCCTTTGATCAGATACAGTCTCAATTTCAATTTAGCGATATTCGAACTCGGTCAGTTCTTATCCAATTGAGCTGAAGTTTTCGAAAAAGAGCCAAAAGACATTCTTCTGCTCAATCCTAGTGTCAGAAAACGACCATTTACATCTAGAAATAGACAGGTTTTATAGAGATCTTTTAAAAGTTCTTTGAAATTTACTGGAAATAGGTTTGATTTCACATCTTTGTTTCATGTAGAAGGATGCCTGTTAAGCGTCCGTCGAAATTTTCAGCTCAGTCGGATAAGAACTGATCGAGTTGAAATTATCTCATTGGAAGCCAGATAGCATCTAAAATCTGACCGTTTTGTCGATCTTCGCTTATTAACCTTGATTCAGCTGCAAGAAGCGACCAAATTGTGCCAAGTGATTCAGAGTGATCGGGAATTTATGAATCCATGATTTTGTTGTTTGTTTTAAGCTTTATTTCAAGTAAGAAAGAGACAACTGATCCACCTACCCCGAAGCGGAAGCCCATTATATCAGATGCAGGTGGATTAGTCCTTGAATAGCGAGAATAGTAATAATAAAAAATAAAATAAAAATGAAAAAAATAAAAATAAAAATAGAAATATGTATGTGTATATATATGTCATCAAAGAAAAATTGTAGCTTACAAGGTTAATAAAGTAGAAAAACGTTTTGTGT